TCAAGAACGGTACACGGCGAGAGCTGGATGTAGCATCTTTGCAAGATCCTTTTGTCACTTCGCCGAATGAGCCCGTCGTCCCTATTATCAGCGAGAATTGCGCAAGCCCTGTCCGCGCGCCCAGCGAAACCAGCCCGCGACGTCAGCAAAGGCCACGAACGTCGCTCGCTACATCCCAGGGCGATGATGCTAAGGCCACTATTCGGATGGTCCCCCATAGCTCACTTCCCTCCATGCAGGAGGTTAAGCCCTTGACCATTCGGAAGAAGAGCTCCACCAAGTTCACTTCACCACAGGTTCATGAATTTGCTATGAGTGACTCTATGGGCGGCGATCAGGACTTTTCCATTGGTTCTCGACGCGGTCGTCAACCTAGTGGCCTGGCTCCCATTGAAGAAGTTCCCCTGTCCCCTAAGAAAATAACAACCCGTGCTCCTGAAGGAAAGAAATGGTCATGGTTTAAGCATCGTCCTCAGAGCTCTGATAGTCCTCCTGCGCTTCCACCAAAGGACACCCATCTCATTGTCCCCAGTGGAGGGACGACTGTGCACAATCCCATTACCCTTGAGCCTGCTTCTCCTCCCCAAGCAGAGAATGGAGACCGAGTCCCAAGACGAAAGACATCTATGGATCGATTTGGCGGAGGCTTTTTCAAGAAGCTTTTGACAAAAAAGTCCACCCAAAACATGGAAGAACCTCCTACTAGTAAGTGTGACCTGAGTAAATTATGTCTAATATTCTAACCACTTCATAGACCAGGAGAATGCTATCCAAACCACGCCAACCAAGGATAATCGGCATTCTCTGATGTGCAAGGGGCTCGCAGACACTGACAGTTCGACTGAAGCTTACCATCCGCCAAACCCGTTCAGCCAAAAGCGCCGCTCAATCGCCAACCACAACTGGTTTGCCCGGGTTTTCCAGATCAAGCCTGCTACCCAAGTCATTGCGTTGAACACATCAAAGGTGAAGGGACGCAAGGAACTATACAAGCTCCTTCGCGAGTGGCGGGATTTCGGTATGGAGGATGTGTACCTGGACAAGACCAACAGTATTGTTCACGGTCGTGTCAGCGAAGCAAATTGTAAGCCACTCATCTCACCTGAATCTGCCCTTATACTAATCACCCGTTAGTCCTCCATCTTCGAGAGGTTGAGTTCACTGCTGAATTTTACACTGTTCTTGAGCACGGCCACCAGGCCAACCTCAGCTTGGTCCGCTTCAAACAGGAGCGTGGCGCTGCTTCATCTTTCAACAGGGTCGTTGAGACTGTGCAGAACACACTAATGCGCCGTGGCATGGTTGTTGAAGACCCATCTCGTGCAAAGAAGATGTCGCGCGTTCTGGACTCTGTTCCTAGCCGCAAATAAGCCATTTCACGACCCATTTCCTTGATATTTTCTCTCAATCTCACCATGAAGCATCTCCCTCAAATACTGTCAGTCAACTATTGTCTTTCACTTCTCGACATTGCGCCAGCAAAACACCCTAGCATACTGCGTTCCAGCCCTGCAAAAGCACTTCCTTTGCATCTCATATTGTCCGTTCATTCACCTCCACGCTCGTTTTCATCTCATCCAAGCCCCAGAAATCACACAGGCCTCATATTACAGGCCACCTCCATAGTTTTCTTTCATTTTACCCCTTCAATCATCTCTTGTCTGTCACCCACTTTCTCTATTTGTTAATTATCCATTCCTTTTCGGCTTGTGTGGGTTTTATTTTCTGGGTTCCTTGTTTTTCTATTATAGTTCCTCCAATCTTTTGCTTTTCACTCTTTTCATCACCCGTTTTGGCCTTCAATAATTTGGCATAATGCTTAATTTCGGCGAGTCGGATATTTGTACCTCACCCATCTCGCTGTTCTAGATCAGAGAAGCTTTAGAAGGAAATAAAATACAATCCATTTACTTCAACAATGCCATTAGGATAACTGTGCTAATAACTCTTCCCTCATTATTACACCATTCTCTACGTAAACATAATACCTAATGTACTTGATTGCCTCTGCCATTTCTTGGCTTTCCATTTCCAATTTAGGGATGCGATAAATCTGCTGGCCATGGAAGATAGATGAAAACAAATTATGTAACGAATGTGTGGTCGTGATATCTGTACAGTCTGTGAGGGGCACTATAAGACATGAGAATACTTAGTTCATGAGTGGTAATGATGAGCCAAAATAATATCAGTCAATAAAGAAGTGTCTAAGTAGGTGCTTTTTGATCCTACTTCTCACCTCATACCCCCTGTTCAATTATCTTCACTGCTTTCCTATTTTATCTAGTACCTATTAATGTCGACATGCCAAAGCTTCGTCTATATCAATATACCCTCCTTGTTAATAAATTAACGGTTTATTAGTTATCGTATGCAATACAGAGGGGATAATCGGGCTAGAATCCCAAGTAATTGGGGTCTTAGCGGTACGACTATACGGTTTTACTGACTTTTCTACCAGTGTAAGAGGTTCTGCTTCTAGATTAGGCTACTCAATGAAATCATGCGACCCTTAATAGTACCACACCCAATATGTGCTTAGTACCAGTTATTAGCCATCGAAATTTACGTATTCAGATTCATCGGGGGCATCAATTGAGCATTTGGATCTGTCCTCCTACCGTAGTCCGTTAGCGTCGATGTGAACAGTTCGATTAGTAGCTGGGTTGACTACGAGCGAATACTCATTATGGCATGTAGTTGTTTCATTCAAAATCCATTTCATTTTTTTATTGGGTTTTTTGAGTCGAAAACACATGTGGAAACTTTCAACACGATGATTATTACAATATAAGGTCCTCACGATCTGCAGACTAGCAGTGAAGTATAACGGATAGCAGCTGTCATTCCTTCGGTCCTGCTTATACAAGCTCACTTGTCTTCACAGACCACGAATGCACCGTTCAAGTCAACCACTTCGCCTCCACGTAGTGACACCCAAGTCTTTTGAGCATCGAGTTCAGCGTGATAGTGATCACGTTGGAAGATCACGCAAGAAGTGTCCTGCTGGAATGCGACGAGTTGTGCACTCGATGCATACACGACACCATCCTTTGAAACTGCAGTCTTTCCCCAGAGATGAGCGACGGACCGCGGGTTACCATCGGTAGGAATAGCAACATTGGCGTTAGCGCCAGATTGGTCGTTTGCGAGTTGGACAGTCGCATCTTTTGTTGCAAGTGCCCCAGTAGAGAGACAGGCGAGGAGGACAGCGGAGACTTCGGCGAACTTCATATTGGAGAGAGAAAAAGGGTCTTTGATCTCTTTGACTTGGATTGATTGAGGGATTGAGTGCAGTAGAGGTTTCAGAACTGGTCTGTAGTTTTATGCTCAAGTGTGAGAGTATTCGGCCCTTAAATACTTTTCCATGAAGGATATCATGCCCCTCACAGCTCACTGACACTGCAACGCTGTGGGCAAACTATGAAGCTGCGGGGGAACCACTTCACCCATGGTTTGATGTTGTGTGGTTAGTGACATGACGAAGTGAGTGTGACATGGCTAAGTGAGATGATTCACGAGAAAACGTAGATCTAGATCTACCCCGTGCCAGATTTGGAAGGTTGCAAAAGATCATGAGGACATGATATGAATCTTGGTTGGCTGCGTTGGTTGGGGAAGGTTGACGAGGTAATCAGGATTGGAACAGACCCCGGCTCGGTGTACGCGATGAGATTCACTACCGATTGGATAGGGATGATATTTTTTAGGCTCTTTCACGAAGCGCAGCCAGGTTTCCCCCATCCTAATACGAGAAAATTGCTAAAGGTAACATCATTCAAATGGTAAAGGCCGGGTTCCACCAATAACAATTGCATTGAAATAAGGTTTCCATGGCGGGTGGCGTTTTAGCCGCTTAGAGTTGCATCGGTTGCATCGGCTGCATCTGCTCAGGTGCCCAGGTGGGCACTACATCTAAAAAGGATAACGGTAATACTTTAATAAAACTTAAATAGCACCAGGTAATTCCTAGTTAGGTATATCCGGTCATTGCCAAACAATCGCTTACTGTAAATCTTGCTCTAAATCTTGCGCCCGGAAGCCTATGATGCCTTGTCAATGTATTCAAGATTAAGTTATATCTCTTTTAGCCTCTTCACTTTTGTGCATGTGGATCTTCGAGTTAGTAAGTCTAATTGGGTACTCCCAAAATTTCACCCCCAAGGTCACATACGGGTGTTGAATAGAATTCGGAGGACAAGGAAGGTATCATTCGGTCGGTTATCCGGTTCCTCTATAGCATTGCGATTCAGACTCTTTCGCTCCTCCCATGGAATTATCATGAAGTCGCCGTTTCCATCAGCTGCGCATGTTATGACGTCGGTTTGAAGAGCTTGCAGATTTTCCTTCCTAACATCCTGGTACACAGCTCTTGCCAAACAGCCGATGCTACTACCCAGTCGTGGAATAACAGAGTTCTTAGGGCAAAGTATTATAAAGCATAACCTTGGAACGTTCACGGCATTACTAACAGCAATGATACAACTACCTAGGAGAACTTGCGATGAAGGTCGCTAAATCTACCGTGTAGATGATTGGTCACTATCTTGACAATGATGCGTTTTGAATAGCCAGGATAGGCTGCATAAGTATGGCATAATGTCTAGCACTTGTTTGGTACTCATATCATCTTGTGGCTTTTTATCATTAAAACTGAGCGCATCTCCACGTACCCTAGGTCATCACCTAAGCAGTTATATCCTTCAATAGACCCACTATCACACCATTTATACTACCTACCTTTTATCACAAAGCGAATATTCATTGCAAAAGCACAAGCTATTGGATACTCTACGTTCGTGCATAATTATGGGAGCCTACTTTGAGAGCTCCATGAAACGATCGTTACTTTCCAGCTTTCGGCACAAAAGAGCACTCCTGCGTAGCAGTGTATTACAAAACCGGGCTATGTAGAACAAATAAAATCTATCAACAAGAAAGGAAACAAGCACGTGCGGTAAACTTCCACCGTATCAACCCAAGTTACGCCATGGGGTGAGCTAAACAGGGGACGAAGGGTGTGGCTCTTGCGCTGAGGGAGAAAACAAGGAATAAAAGCGCGAGCCCAAAGAACTAAGACGTCGTTGGTTGAAAGAGTATCGGTTTGACTTTCTGTGCTCGCCAGTACGTCGAAGAGGTTCGCTGTCAGGTTCAGCAGAGAGATGAGAGCGGGGCACTAATCCTCCTTCAGGACAGTCGAGGCGAACTCCCATTGCCTATACGAGTGATTGTTAGTATTTTTTTTTTTTTTTTTCACATCCAGAAACAGAAACATACCCAGCCATTGTCAAAGGTCTGCATTATGCACAAACGTTGGCCGGCTTGAAGGTCAAGCTGGCCAGCTCTTTTAGAGCTATAATCCATTTCCACGGTATAAATATTTCTCATTGATGGGTTGGCAGCGACGAGGTTTCCCACGCTCAGGTTTTCTAGTGTCCCTAGACCACTTCCATGGCCAACATTGGGGCTTCCGGTTTGCTCTGGTTTTGCGTCTTCTGACTGCGCCAAGGAGCTGTTGGAACGCGACTTAGACAGTTCTGTCTCCCAAGAAGAAACTGAGTTAGGTGGTGAGTAGTGGGACGCAGGGTAAATCTCGATTCGAGGAGATTTGTGTGAAACAATCGTATCGTTGTTGGTCTCACTACCAATATGCGTGTCATCAAAACACACGGCAGGGTTTGAAGGTTGCCGCTTGGGTCTAATGAGAGCGGGCGTTAACAAAGCCAGTCGAGCACTTTGGCTCTGAACTCTTGATATGAACCCGTTGAGAGACTGGGTAGCTCCCTTTAGAGGGCCATCCACGACAACTTCTTTTTCCTTATCGCCAAGTACTTTTTGCAGGCGCCTGCGTCGCTTACAAAGTGGGAACAAAATCAGAAGTGCAATGAGTGCTACGGCAGCACCGACCGACAAAACAATACCCGCACGTGCAGCGGGTGAACTGGCAGATGAACCTGTTTCTGAAGACGCGGGTATTGAAGGAGCACTGGTTGATGTTGATGTTGGATGGCCAGTAGGGTGTAGCTGAGTTGAGGTAGGCGACTGGGTAGCACCAACCACTGAATTCCAACTTTCGCCTACAGGGCCGACTTGACTCCAGTCCAATTGCTGGGTGTCGTATGCGTTTATGCTTGGTCCGTGTTGTGTTTGGGTGAATGCTTGATCCACCTGAGCATGGTCTTCTGCTGGCTGTTGTTGCTGCTGCTGTTGTTGCTGAGGACTGTATTGACCGCTACTTGAAGTAGAAGGACTTCCCTTGCCCCCAGCCGAGTTCGGGTGGTACTGGCCATCATCCTGAGTGATGGGTGATGCTTGATTGTTTGTAGATGCTTGATTGTTTGCAGATGCTTGATTGTTTGTAGATGCTTGATTGTTTGTAGATGATTGCTGGTTTGGGTGGTACTGGCCATCATCCTGGGTGCTGGAAGGTGCTTTGCTGTTTGAGGCTTGGCTATTTGAGGCTTGGCTATTTGGGGACAATTGCTGACTTCCAGAATTTTGTGGTATCAGCGAAGAAGCTTGCTGTCCCAGAGCTGGTTGTTGGTTCGTGGCGTCTAGAGCTTTGCCGAGCTGTGGTGTCTGGGACTTGGGTTGATTTGGGTGATATTGCCCATCATCCTGAGTGTTGGAGGCAGCTTGCTTGTAGGAAGGAGATTGCTGATTTGGGGTGTTTTTGGCATCTTGCGTTGCCTGCCAAGAAGCCTGCTGTCCAACAGTCGTTCCTTTGTTGTTATTATTTAGATCATTGCGGCCTGCTGGTGCTGCAGAAGGCTGACTTGGCATCCATTCTGCATTCACACGACCGGCTATACCCTGCGCAATGGTGGAAGACATGGTCTCGAAGTATTAAACGAATGAGTGAGGACTTGGTGCCCGAACAGTAGATAGAGGAAGCATTAAAAGCACATATCGCAAGGTTTACGACGCGCGCGAAAGTTGAATATGAACGACACGTCGCACCATAGTAAGGCTACCATAGCCTTTCTTAAATAACTGTCTGTATGTTGCATCTCAAATATTTCTCTAGGGATTTTCTGTTTTATTTCCTATTTCTCTTTGTTGTGATCTTCATACCCCAGAGCATGCCTCAAGTAGAAGTCTTAAAGCACATACGAAAACAAGCGCATACCATACACTCAGCTTAGCCTTAGAGTATACTAGTAATGCAACAAGACTGTAAAATACATCGGGCACAAAACGACGTATTATTTAAGAGTGTTGACAACGATTGCATTATCTTACAAGTGCGCGATTTTGCTCTCATCAAGTATCCCTATCTATCCAGGATTGGTTCGAAGTATATGGCAAAGGAAATACTTAAAGTAGTCTAGGTTAACAATTCATCCACCTTTGATATCCTACTTTCTTGCTGCATATTAGCTACGATTTAGATCCAATCCCCCAGAAAGGATGTTGGGTAGAAAATATGTGAGCTGGGTGTTTAGAATCGGGGGTATGTCCGATCCCTTTGAGATTCGAGGTACACGTGTATAGGCCAGGGGTCAGATACAAAGTTCTGTGGAGCTGAATCTGGTCGTAATCAAAGGGATCCGGAATTTACAGCCCTGCCAATCGGAAGCCCCACCCGGCTAATCATGTTGTGGCATTTATAACAGAAATGTGTCCTCCGTAGTACGACAATATATGGTGAAATTCAGTGGTATGTACAAATGTGACTCTCGAGTTAGGTGGTACCTACCTACCTACCTACCTATCTTCTTACTTTATTATCGAACACAGGAGGTTTAATACATCGTTGAAATCGGTATTTAACCCGGAATATCATCGGACCGCTGTGATGGTGATCCTTTACAAGTGCATATCTTATTTAGTCAGCTTATGTTCACCCAGCCCTGAAGCCCTAGAGATCGTCAAGCTGACCTCCCGATTCGTATTGAGTTGCATACCACTCAAAATACCATATATTGTCGTACAAGATTTCTGTCAGTTATGTGTCATGAATTGTTCAAATAAGCCTTGCCCTTGTTTAAAAGCACCCTGTCCTCGAAAGCTGAAACCAAGAATCGGAACTCTGTCTACTACAACGACCATGTCAGAATTCAACCTCTCCGCGACCTCATCCTCTCGCATTATACTAAGGGATATATCGAATTGGAATGCCTGGCTCTCCTACATAAAAGGAATTGCAAATTAACTGGAGTTTTGCGAGTACTACGCCTCAACACTTGTAGCACAATTCATCCTTCTAGAGACTACAGAAAAACTCCAACTGTTGAACAAGGGAAGATGACGAAGCCAACTGGAATAAAATCCTTAACATGTAAAATGGAGCAATAGAACACGAGCTGTCCAAGGGATGAATATTGTAGCAACTTCTATCAGAAACATCATGCCATCATCTGTATAACATATCAAACCCTGGTGATCACCAACGACGAACCCTGAACACTGCTTCAAAATTTGAAAAAGAGGTTTGTACCATAATGTGCCCCTATATACAAAGCGCCAATGCGCTAGAAGTGGAGAAATTTAGACCGAGGGTTAGATAAAAACACCGATATCAACAAATGGCTGTTGAACTGGGAGCTCACATGAAACGAGTGTGCAAAAGCGGGAATCTGTGAAGTAACTGAAGCAGTTGCTATTGACGAATTCCTAGATGCTATATTGGATATGCTACCTGGACTTTATAACCTTTGGGTGCTAAGGATGGAGATACGTCTAGAAACAACGATCGCAGATGTCATCGTTCAGCGCAGAAGCAACTAAGATGTGGCAAGCAACATGTATTCAAGGGCATCTCGAAAGCAGTGTTTTCAACCTGGAAAAGTCATAAAGAAGCAAAACCGACCAAAAATATGCCCTTGTGGTTCAAGAATCGGCCATCCGCTATGGAGCTGCTGGCCTGTTTTCAAAGGCAGAAGATCAGAAGGATATAGGGTCTTCCATCTCACTACTACTACACACGAATAGTATTAATCTAGAAAGATCAAGTTTCATAGACAAAGGAAGGAACTATTTACTAGTGTAACACTAGAAGCCAACAGGGAGATCGCATGTGATCTTCCCACACCCCCACGACTAGTATATAGTAGCTACCCTTTATAGTTTCAAACGATCCCCCAATGCAAAGACCAGATTGTTGAAGCCACAAATTAACCCCCCATTTTATGTATATAGATCAAAATTTATCCTCGTAGGTGGAATGCGCCAAAAACCGTACATAGACTTTCGCGAAGCCTAACTTTGAGCCTAAGGTCCGGGCTCGAAAGCCGACCTATAACGATCTAGGGTTCGAACTTCTTATAACTAATTAGGTAAACTACTTAAGGGAAATTAAGGTCTAACGAGCTAGGAAGGCTAGGATGACGTATTTCACAGGCGCGCCGTCACCACAAGCGAGCTGCCATCTCCAAAACGCATAGTAAATGCCATATTCCCTATACTTTATATCTTAACCACTTGCCAGTTTTATCTGATTACTTGTCGATGGTTATTGATAAGAGTTATTGGCAGTATATATCACTTTCAAACAAATTAAAATGCTATATTATCATCTTTTCAAAAATCACCAGAAATTACGTTACGATAAGCTAGAAATATATATCTGAATAAGTCACAAATATAAATTCCCTAAACCCTTTAAAGACGCTATCTACTACCTAGTATTAGGTTACAAGATATATATAGTGTGAAGTAAGTAAAATATTATTTAACCAACTTTTGGTAAGGAATATTAAGGGTAGTAAAATAAAGAAATTATCTAGGCATCTAACCATTATGTACTCCCAAATATAGTGTCATTTCTAAATAACTATTATTTTTTCCATATTAGATACCAAGAATTAATAATACCATTAAGTTAATTAATATATACTAGTACTAGTTATATATCAGTACACTTTCTATTACTTTAGTTAGTTCGAGGGCTAAGAAAAACTGTGTTATACCTAACGGGTGCCTAAGTACCTTTTGTATGGTAAAGCCATACAAAAGATACTTAATTTATAGATATTGCATCTGCAGGGGCGCACCAATGCCTAGTAGGTATGTTGGGCGCCTGGCACGGCTAGGGCTTGTTAAGGCCTACTTACATATAGCTACCTACCTAGTAGATCCAAATCGTCTGTCCCGATTAGGGCAAGTCACGTCGTAGGTCATCACGTAGGCGCCTACATAGGTGCGTCTGCCCATACCCGATCTACATTGCATATACGCACATATGTGATCTAAGCGACACGCTGGATGGGATAGGTGCATGATGTAGCATGGAAAGGATGCAATACTCGAGCTCCATTATGCAGCCAAGATTCCCCCTTCACAGGGACAAAGTATAAAGTCAATAGTCCCGCTATCTTACCGAGAAACTATCCGACCCCTCTACACTCTCCACTCTCGATAAGAGAGGATAAGTGGCAAGCAAGGGAAATGCCTCGGAATAAAGGGAAGACCAAGAATGCCCCGGACCGGACCGGATCTGATCTGTTGGATCTGTAGAGCTAGGGAGAAATACTCGGTATAATTCGCATCATAGAATTTCATCAGAAAGCGCTCAGAGATACAAGATCCCAACGGAAAATGGAATTAGCATGCGGCAATAACTGAATAGCAGAAAGAGTGATCAAACAACCTCCGGATATAAGTATAAGCAGATACTTGATAACGAAAAGACAGACAACGATACGAAGATCAGAAACAAATATCAAAAGATCAAAACAGTTCCGACGAGAATAATCAAGGCAAAGGGAAAAGATGACACAGCCGACCCACGTCTTTTAGTCGCGTAGGCGAAAAACAGATGGCCACACATACATCATAGAAGATGTGAAAGGGTAGTAAATAGACGAATGCCTTCCCAATAATGTAAAATGGAATGAAAAACCCGAGGAAAGCACAAAAGCCGACAACACTGCAAAAACGCGACAAGTGCAAAACGAGACAAATTGCCAAAAAAAAACAAAAAACAGACAGCCACCCGAAATTCAAATAACAATGCGAACAATGTCTGCGGCCCCATAGGAAATGAACTCCACGGGAAAAATAGCCGGAGTGTGATCTCATGGTAATAGTCCAGAATGCATTCATGCTAGACCCTCATGAGATGTGGGTTGAACCAATTGAAACCAGCACATGAACTGCACCCTGGAAACCATGCCAAACCACTTTCTGAGCAAATCAAAGTATTGGAGTTGCGATTATTGAGATACCGAAGCCGAGAAAGGTCAAAAAGAAAAAAAAGATATGGAAGTAAAAAATTCATATGCCGATAAAACCAGAGCCCATAAGTCTGGAAGTCTCAGTATCAAGTTCAAATTCGTGCTCGTGAAACTCGTGGGTTCGCGTTTTGTGATCTTGTAAAAGATCATAGAGTGACGTTCTTGTCGCGTTCATCGTCTAGGTACTCGTCATTGTCTGGAATATCATTCCGAAACTCCCCTTGTGGCCTAATGTCGGTCCCACAACGGTCCGACGAGACCTCAAAATCTTCTTTCCAAATTCTAGCACCCGACACATGGCTCTCGGATCGTGTGGCCAGCACACGGTCCATTCCGAATGGTCCTCATTCCTTAACGGCCCCGCATCGCATTCTTCATGCGCCTCCTAGTTTCCACTAGGATATCGAATAGCAACATAAGAATTACTATTGCGGGCCTCGGCGATTCAACGCATTGAGCATGTCGCTATCGGTGCTGGAGCGGCCTTGAGAATCACCGGGGTTCAGCATATCGCGCACGTTCAATCCACCTCGTTGCGAGCCACCGGGAGTAGAGGTTGGCGGCGGCGTCACACCCCCTGGCTGAGGGGTCCCACTTGACTTGAGTGGCGCGCTGCCCTGTTGAGCCGAAACTGGGGGCACACTGGTCTGGTGTGGAGTCATAGGCGCCTGGTGGGCCTGCATAGGTGGGAAGGGCGAGCCGTGAGGTGAGGAGGAGGGGCGTGCATCGTAGTTATAAGCCGATGGCGGCGAGGTGCGTCGATCGTGGGCAGGCGGAGGGGGATATGCGTAAGGGCTAGGTGTAGTGTGAGTTTGGTATCCTGGGGCAGACCCAGCGGGTGTCACGGGAGCCAGATTGGTTGGATCTGGGTATTCAAATCCCGAGTTGGAGCCTCGTCGGTGTCTCTGCGCATCAAAACATCAGCTCAGATCTCTCTCCCTGTCTCCCTCTTACCAGAGGGGGAATGGCGGCCTTACCGGATCGGGCATAGTTGACGCAAGGGGAAGCGGGGCACCGTCCATGGGAGGTCGTCCGTTCTGATAGTACATCCCTTGAGGCGGCGGCAAGGTGGTCTCGGGGCCTTGTGGCTGCTGTTGAGGAGGCAGAGGCTGTCCGTGAGCGCCGTACAGGACAGGTGGCCCACCACGGCCCCCTGGTCCTGGTCCATTCTGTCCAGGTCGTAGATGAGGGTAGGCGGTGTGCGCGGGCACAAAGGCTTGGGTTTGTGAAGAGACCGGAGTGAACATGCAGTCTTGGTTGAATCGAACGCAGTTGCTGCATCGTCCATCTGCCGAGGTCTCGAATCCCGAGCAACGAATCTATCGGGCAAAAAATTAGCGCGTGGTAACTCGTAGATAGGTAGAGATCTCCCCCGTACCTTTCGGCGTCGACAGTACCGGCATGCAATGGCCGTCCGCTGTCGCGGAGCTGCTGCCTGGTAAGGCCCTTGTCCTGCTTGAGGTCCATATGCATCGGCGCGATAAGGACCCGGCGGAGGTGGGAGGCGGTAGGGATCTTGCGCTCCGTGAATAGCGTTCATGGCTTGCGGATGCGGATATCTTGGATCCGGATACTGTGCCGGGGGATATTGTGATGGGGCGTACTGCGGAGGAGGGGGATACTGCGATGGCGCGTATTGTGCGGGAGGGGGATATTGGTAGGCACGATCCTGGTCAGGTGGCGGAGGGTAGGAAGTCGGCGGATACTATGAAGCTATCAGCAACCGGAGCCACCGCAAAGTCACAGCGCTGTAAACTGCCTCTAAGACAGCACATACTGGGTAGGAAGCCTGATCATCCGGATTGTTCCACTGGGTGGCTCTAGGGTCCCTAGGATCTCTTGAATCTCTTGGGTCTCGAGGATCCTGGCGATTTAAATCACCCTGACGATTAGGGTCGTGATCGTTGGGATTGCCCGACATTTGTATTGTTGGGGGAAGAGTAAGACGAGATGAGTCAAGGATGCAGGGATCTGACGTCGAGTTATTGAAAAAGGGAGATCGAATCACACGGACAAAGTGAGCATAGCGCAGTCACGCAGGGGAAGGGGAAGAAGGGCAGATGCAGGAAGATCCCAAAAAGAACAAACAGAAAAAGGAAATAGGAAATAGGGAAGCAGAAGGAGAAAAAAAAAGAAAAAAACAGAAAAAAAAAAAAAGAGAGCCTCGGTGATTATGACGTGAGCAGGTAATTAGAAAGTGAAAAACCCCACGACAAGATAAGCAGAGAAGGGAAGAAGAAAAAGAAGCTCAGATCGGAATGAGCAGAGAATAAAGGAAATAAAAGGAAATGAATTATTTGATTGGAAAAGCACAGGGGAATTTTTAGAGAACGGGGTGGAGCCCGGGCAGCGCGGGCTAAAGCGGCGCCAGTGACCCATAGACATGGAGGGGGGATTACTGTACAGTGTATCTATACGCCCGTGGACGGATTTTATGTAACAAATTTGTGTGTCCAGCTCGAAGACATGCATTAATACATCGAGTAGCATGACCTTACCATACGATTTCATTTCGTCAAGTGAAACATGGGAGACAAGTCTTTGAACCATGGATTTGAATTTAGGGTACCAGATTTCCGTTACTACATATGAAGCCGAGAACGGCGACCGCTTTTATTTCCTAGTTTTATTTTGTATTTTGTATTTTGATTTTGATTTTTTTCAACTAGCAGTAGCGCCCGAGAGTAACTTTCCACGTTTTTGCCACTCGACAGTGTTACCGAACAATATACGGAGTACCTATAAAATAATAGAAATAGCTCTACATGATCGGAAAGATTATTTTCAACTGTCAAAGTTGACATCATCAATAATGTGGCAGGTGACCTCTCATTTGCATGGATCAATCCATGCACGTCAATTCCTCCGAGTGACCCTTGCTGCGTAACCCGTCCATGGACGAACGACCGCCTCGGACCGTAGTCGCACAACCGCAACCGGCCCCGCGGAACCAGGATCATTTTCCATGGCGATGGGCTCGGGTCGGGGCGACACATTCCCATGCATATCGGGGTTGGTTGAATTGTATTTTTATTTTTATTTTTTATTTTTTAAAATCCAACCATTTAATGATATTATTATGCACATTATTGTGGTGTTTCTTGCCTTAACCAGGACCACCTAGTCATCAAAGCACATGGAACTACTGCACGTAGGTACTATGAAAGAAAAATTCAAGCGGTGAAAGTGTGGCGATCAGACTTCAGCTGAGGGAGTGGGGTTCAGCCAGACCACTCGCCACTCTTCAACACGAATGGAGCATCCATAGGAGGACAAAAATTGGGTATGGAAGTATGGCACGAAGTTTCTGCGAAGAAATGTGGCGAGAGCGGATCCCTTTCTTTCTATGACTGAAACGAACCAGGCTTTGGAGGGAAAGAGAGAGAGAGAACGAAGGGGGGTGGAGTACCCTAAGTTCCCAGGGCTGTAGCACTGGATCCGGAAAGCCCATAATGAGCCAAGGTAACCTGCATTAGCGCTGCGCTGACAGGGCGGGTTCCTTGTCCAAGAGCCACAACCACGTTGTACGGGGGGGGCTATTTAGCGGACGCCCCCGTCACCGCCAATCCCTGGTGAAGTTTTCAGCCCAAGTAATCTACAATATACAGGGATTGTGGGGTTGAGATATAATATGAATAATAGCAGACAGTCAGAGCGACGGAGAAAAGAAAACAAACCCACTCTCGTAACCATGGATTGAATAATATCTGTATCGAGTAAATTGTAATAATACGAGTACTATTGCGCAGGATTAATCAATCAGGTTTCGGGGTACTTGTCCCACGGGCCGCTCCGGCCTTCCCGCCGATCTATGCATGTGTGCCATCTGGCAAAAATACCTTCGCTGTTACAGTACAGTATTTGTCTGCGTCTCAATAACACATATATTTTCTAGTCTATCATCTCAGAGAATATCTACGTAGCTGTATTAGATGATTATATATGCATGATATGGGTATAGAAATACTACTAAAAATAGGTAGAAATATGTAGTGTTCGGTTGAGACTTCCGTTTTCATAAATATAGTGCCTTCTAGGTAATACGGAGTAAAACGGCGTAAAATGGAGTACCAAGATACGACAATCCTTTCAGGCCACGTTTTTCGAACCCAATCGACTGCATTGCCGTCCGCGTCTTTCCGTTCCCCACTCTCAGGCGTGGCCTGTTCAGCTTTGTCCCTCTACTCTAGCGTACTCTCCGGAGACTCTCTAAGATCCACCCGATCCAAAGATGCTGGCCACTCGATGCCGTTTGTACTGGAGACGCGCTAACTGTCCTCAAAACTAGCCCTTCCGACAGGGACTGAGCGCTACTTGTCGAAACTGAAAGCCCAACGCTAGGGGGACCCATTCCGACCGGGCCTTTTTGCAGGCTGCGACGTTCCGTCGTAAATTTTTATTATTATTCAGAATATATAATATTTTGTACTTTTTCTAGTCTCAACTTTGCATTTGGTGTAAAATATTGGAATCACTTAATTTCTTTTTTAAATTTTCCTACCTAGGTAGTGTTCATGACAATTCTAAGGTTTCTATTAGCTATAACCCCTCTTTTACCCACACGGGAGCGCGTCTATCAGCAAGGATGGAGACGGGTCGGGCACTAATAGGCGCAGCCCGCATGCCATTACAGTCACGGGAACACCATATGGACCAATATAGTAATGGATACAAAATAATACGGAGGCCAAGGTCTGTGCTTGGGGATCTGACGTGGCGAGGGTCTTTTGCTGCACTCAGCCGGAACGAGGCAGTGCTTTCAAAGTCGGTGTACAACGAACTCGAACGTGCAGGTCGTGTGATGAGAGATGCCTGATGACTACCTGATCCTAGAAAGTATATGTGAGATCGGCAAGTCATTATTAGCGGACCCTTTGATCTTTCCTTACTCTTTCCTTCTATCTCTCTTTGGATTTAACAAGTTTGTTATTTTTTTTTCCCTATGCGATTCGCGTAATGCTCGTATCTGATTGGTGCTTCCCAATCTTAGTTGTATATCTTGTCAGTCACACAAGTGAGACCAAAGTTGGGACCCCCATGCTGCACGCTAGACCTCCTCAACTCTATTCGGGCGCCATTCGGGAGACAAAGCGAGTCAATCTCACCTTGCTTTTTCTGGATGCCGCTTGCCAAGTGGTTTCTCGGGATCGTGCGTGGAGCTAGTGACTTTGACATATGTAATTAATGTGCGGCTTAACCGATTCTCTTTTTTTGCTTTTTCAAGTACCTTTTGCTTCTTTGGGCTTGCCTTTGACTTTTCGCATTTGAAACTAGTTAGGTGTTTTTGGTTAGATTGAATTATGTGCTGTGTGATCTGCATACAAATGCAGTTAGGGCATCGGTATCACCAACCTACAACTGCAGGTGCCTCATAAAATTGACCGACTCTCTCAAGGTTTTAAAGGTCGATCCCCGCACGCCCAGGCTTTTACCTTGATTCCTGGGTTTGAATTGATTGGCCATTCTAGGTCGACGAGCATCATGCCTGTCGATGCACCATGGCTGAGCAAACAAGACAAATTAACATGTGATTATTTCTACCCTAAACGCTTAACATTAAGTCTATACCTACAAACTCCGATCCAATAGAATATTCGATATGAATTGAATACAGATTTTGATCCGGGAAGTATACCTAGGGGGTATTGATGAGAATAATTAGCACGGGTGCTTACAGAGATGGATTATAGACCCATGGTGGTTGTGAAGCACAAGCTCATAGCTCTCGATATCCTGGAGGAAATCAAAGAAACAATTTATATATCGCAATACTTTCGTATATTCTAGTCTTTGTGTACATTGTGACTTTCCCAAGGCTACTGCCACCTTTGGCATTCGTGTTCCAAGCGTTTACAACCTCCATGTATGAACTCACTCTCTGTGCGTATAATTTTATACGTCTTCATATCGATTTATCGAATACAATTGAGGATCTCTTTGCGACGTGCAATCAACAATATGACTGGGGTTCTTCGGGGCCCAGTTCCCGATACTAGTGGGGAGATCAATATTCTTTTCATATGTGAAGACCTATGGCAATAAATATACTGTTATACAGAACACAGCCCGAGATACAGCTGCCCAATTATCTGCATCGCAGAGAGCAGAGTGTCGAGTTGATACATGACCACTAAGACATGCTAGACCGATACCCGTGGACCCTGCCCAAAATGCCCAAATGACCAAAATGAACGGTGTTGACCGAGAATCCAAACTCCGCAATGCGTACCAAACACATGCAGGATGCACTACTCCGTACGAAGAAACAAAACAATACCATCCAGTCAAATAAATGGAGTCCATTCCAGAGAAGGAAGGTGCTCATCTTAAAGTCCAAAATCTGGGACGGCGGAGTAAAACTATCCGGGCCTCAATCCACATTGCCTGCAGGCCCAAGTTTAGCCTAGCGGGCATGCCCGACAACGGGCCGAACGCGGGCGCTTGCGGTGGCGATATCATGCGCGTCAACTGGTTGTTTCATTTAATTTGTAAATTTTCTGTGTTCTTTTGTTTGCCCAACTATGTCGTACATTCAAGTTTTGGTCTGAGAGGAGTGGTAGATTGCAAAAAGGTTAAACTGCATATTACATGCGAGGGGCTTCACGGCCATTGGGTGCTGACACGGGTAGAAGGATTGCGTCGAAGTGTCTAGAATATGTGTCACGTTGAGGGGAAAAGCAGTAGTAATGTCTCAATTTGGAACGTTGCCCGCGTACTGTAGGCTTATGCAGTGTGTAGTGACTAGAGGTGATATGACTGCAGAGCAAGCGTTAGGTACGTTATTTGGCCCCGCGCCAGTGTTAGGCCTGCAGTAGAAACCCAGGAAACGCGGCGGGGACCGACAAAAGAAGCTATGTGCAGGAGGCGGCAAGGTGGGGGATGGGATCCCGGTTTCAAGTCGAGGAGTAGCAAGACAAAAGACCCGAGCTAAGGCAGATGTTGAATGAGAAAAATAAAATGAGAGAAATTCATCGGTAACAAATACGAACAACTTCATACCACAACTCTCATACCACACACACACACCCCCCTAGGAGTAAAATGTCAAAGGCAAACCGGAACAGATTGATCTCTCTTCCCCTCTCGTCCAATGATGCCAAATCCAAATAGACGCGGGTGACACTCCCCAATCATGTCACTGATCGGGCATCACTACACTGTTGAGATACGTCACCTGTTTGAGAAATGAGAAGCGGTCAGCGGTCAGCAATACAAGTATACAACATGAAGGTTATTGTCTGAACACCCTATCTTGTGAAAGCGGGAAGGACAGAAAAAAAAAAACAAGAAAAAAAAAAAAAAAAAAGCCCCCCAACAACGATAGTGACACAGTGCTGATTTGGGTGGGTAAAAGGGACGGCTAACACCGCCAAAGTGGCTAGCTCAGAAGGGAAAGCAGACTAGTTAAGAGGGGGAGAAAACCGGCGGGAAAGGGAATCAATAGATTGGAAAAGGGCTTACGAAAGGCTCCATGACCCCAACCAAAGTAGCAATCTTCTCCTGAGCATCATCTCCAGTGAGTTCATCATCTGGAATGGGCTTTCCAATAGTGAAACTGCGTAGTCGAAGTAATTTGATGTTCTTGTTATCTGCCTCGTAACCCTAGAAGGTGTGTCAGCAGTAACCTTCCAAGGTTGGAAATCCCATGGATCAGACGTGGAGCCTGGCGCGAGTGTGAACCATGGAACCAAACTCGACGGCGTGAGAATAAATCCCATTCCAGCAAGTCGATTCCCCAATTGAGATGGCGAACCTTGGAAATTGCTTTCCTGGGTTCCATGGTTGCGTTGCGGGAAATTTGGCCTAAAAACACGGGTTGGCTTTTCCCGTATCACCGTGCGCGTGCCTTCCACATCTCTTTCATTTGATGGCTTGAAGCACATGAAGCATTTGGAACGCCTGGAACTCTTGGATTCTCTCGAATCGTCATGTACCAGGTTTCCTTCGTCGCTGGCCGGGTGAGGAGCCGTGGTCGCACCCAGCAGCCCGACCAAGGAGAAAGATCTGATCTCCATGATCTCATGAGGCTCATGAGGCCATTGCCACCTGAGAATCAAGCCTTGAAGATGGCACTCATGAAGATGGAAGTAGATTCCGTTTTCAAGATCAATCCCGGTCGGACGATGGATGCAACCTCGATTGTGAACCTTGTGCCCCCTGCCTCGGAAGACCTTCGCGTCCCAGCTCATAAATAATAAACAAACAGCTGACAATGCAACCGAAGCACATGATGATAATGGGAAGGAGTAAAGTCTGTCTCAATAGACAACATACTTCACATTGGGGTGAGAAATAGAGGACCGAAAGCTTCTTACCTTTGGTTTTGTCTTGAGAGCAGACTCCCTATTGTGATGCGTAAAAGCGTCCACAACCGCATCGTCATCGTCGGACGCTCCCTTCAGAAACTCACGACGCATCTCCGGCGCCCGGAGTATCCCCTTCAAGACAGCCGAGTTATCGTCGATGTCCTCCCGAAGCAGTGCAAGTGGCTCTGACTCAGGGTTCCACAGCCCGCCGCCTATACATAGCGTGGTATTAGCCGCAAGGGATGAAGATCACACAATGAAAGGCAAGATAGCGATGGCTACGGTGGGAACCAGCTGGGGGACAACCTACCAACAAAACAAGAGCCTGGCTGGAAGTGGACATAGTACGCTGCGTACGGGCCCTTCTTACCAGTTCTCGACCTCGACCATATTCAGTGACTTTTCTCTTCAAAAGAAAACAGGGGCATTGAATATTGACACTTACCAGGCAGCAGAGAAATGCGTCTATACATCTGGAGTCAGCACAAGCACCACTAACGAGCACACAGTACCACACGCCCACCCGCCACATACGCACACATGCGACAGGCCACAGCGACAGGGACTCGGAGAAGGTAGCCTACCTTGTACGGAAGTGGATTCTTGCTGAAGCGAACATCCCTGTGGATGCGGAAAATCTGGAGCGAAAGTTTGTGAGCGGGACAAACCACAAAAAAGGGAGTATTCGCAAGCCTACCAGGTCCTTCACAGGAAGTTCGGGGACGGTAGCGTCTACCTCCGCAATCTTCGGTGTGAGGGAGTCAACGAATGTCTCGAAGTCCTTTTTTGCTGCGCGATAATCCGGATCATGCGCTGCGCAAATCAGCCAGCAAGTCGATAACCGGGGTATGTGTGCGCTTCCTACCTTTGAGCCATTGGCGGTCATTGTTGCTAGCTATATCGATCAAAAACAGCTTGGTATTGGGGTGCAGCGTCTCATCCTGGTACGGGGTCTTCCCTGCGTCTCGGGCCTTGGGCTTTGCAATGATAACTTCTTGCCCGGGCTCCAGGCCCACTCTGACACCTTCGCGCCAGAGCTCCTTGCCCTTCACAGGGTCGCTTTCGCTGTTGGTACTCTGTCGTTGCTTTCCTCTCACGTTGGGTTTCTTCTTGGCGTCCTCGTCGGTGTCGGAGAGTTCTTCCGGCTCCGCTTCGTCGGTGGGGGATCCCTCCTTTGCTTCCTCATACACAGAGCCAGCGGATTCCCCCGAAGAGGCATCGGACTCTGAGTCAGGCTCGTCGGAGTCTTCTGGCTCAAAGTACTTGCTCTTGCTGGTCGTAGACTTTGCCTGGCGGAGGGACAGGTCGACGTTTGACTTGACCCGTTTGACCCCCGGTTCGGCGGCGGACAGTCTGGCTGAAGCGCGTCGCTTTGACGCCATAGGCGCTTCAGGCGACGCAGGATCAGGCCGAGATGACCGTCGAGGCATACTTAGATGAATCAAATGAAAATGAGGGAACTTGGCGGGGCCTTTTCCTCCCTTCTTCTATGCGTTGAGGGATGTTTTTTTTAAAAATTCTGATGTCTGGAAATCAAGCAAAGCAAAAGAGAAACAAAAATACTTGTAGATGAAGATAAAAAGTGATAAATCGAAATCAAAAACCCAAAGGGCCCGCATGCCTTAAAAACCGGCTGTAATAAATGGCTCCGCTTTGGGTACTGGCGCCCTTACGTTGTTTTTTTCCCCCTCCTCAAGACGTACAGTAATTTGTACTTTGACAGACATCAATACATTAAGGTTAGTTTGAAAAGTAATGGAAACAGCCTTTTAGTCTAAATTATATACATATATATATAGTCCTATCTAGTCGTTTTAGGCTGGCTACTACTAGTATTAGTTGTGTCCATATTACTGTCTTCGTGGGGCAGGTTATCGACTTCGCTGACAGCCCCCAACATACAAGGTTGTATGCTGTCCCATACTGTCTTGTGTGGGATACCCTGATATTTCTCTTGGGTCTGTCTCCAAGTTCTGGTCCCATGAATTTTGGCTATGTAAAATTGCAAGGCTCCTTTGCATGGGATATATTGGTGGTAAGCTACTTGAAATAGATGAAGACCGATCTGACATACTCCTATCATAAATATCTCGGTGTATCTCGTTATTTTGAAGGAATCTGTTATATCTTGCAGTAGGAAGCGTTAGATGTGTCTCGATATCACTACCAATCCAACGTAATCTCCCAAACAACATTAGCTAGTTCCGATCTAGGCCCTTGGCTGAGTGGTAGTCACACTCCCTCACGCCTAGACCCTTTTGTCTCGGTCGTGTTTCCTCTGTCTTCTCAACGGTATTGTAACCCGCACTCGTTTAGTTTTATTTATTTATATCAAGGGTCGACGATTCGCTGTCGTAATAATGAGAACTTGGCTGATAGCAGCTGAGGTCTGGCCTCCCGCGGTCTCACAGCTTGGTCATAAATGTATCTTTTGAGATTCGCCGGCAAGTGTTGGTAGGTGTGCCGTCAAGACCGACCGTAATGAGTGATCGGATTCCCATGAGATAAGTCCATAGCCCCAAGTTCAAATCAAGAGACAGAAGGTAAACCAAGAGCCCTAATAACTCGGAAAGAAGACACTGATATTCTCAAAAGAGAGATATTGAGTAGGAAGTCAGAGCTAGTAAAGTCCTGCTTCTACTTCAGCAGTATCCGAGAAACAATGAGGTCTGAAAGAGTGCCCCTGATCAACCTTGCGTTAGTGTCTTACAACCTAATCTTGATTAGTCTTACATTGGTGTCCTACTATATGCAGTTTACCGCATGGCCTACATAGTCTACAAACAAAAGCAACGCCCGCTTAAAGGAAATCTACTGAAAGCAAAAAGAACAAGAACGCAAGAAGTAAAAGCAAACGCAAACTAGCTTGTCAACTAACTGAGAACTGACATAAGAGCTAGAAAAAAATGAAACTCAAATGAGTTTCTGTCACAGGGGGACCTCCCAGACTGGCCAAGCACATCCCGAAGGCAGCAGCCACGAATGGTCAATCCCCCTGGCCCGGAAAACAAAGCAAAAAACAAAGCAAAAAAACGCAGGGGAAAAATCAGAAAAGCAAATGGCGCAAGCGCCAGGGAGACAAGGGTTTTCTTAATAGAGCTGGTGGACGTCTCCATACATCCACCGCAGAAAGGAATGGGCAAGGGAATGCCTACATAAAAAAAACGAAAACCTTGAGAAGCTCAAGGCCATTAAACTGCTGATAGACCAGCACTCCTTAACCGAGGAGTACTGGTCCGGGGTATCTACCGTGTCCGATTACTTCTTTGCGGATCGGGGACCGCGACCGGTAGCTCGGAGCTCATCAATCGCCTGGTGATCGATGTTCGACAGACGGGCGGCGTCGGAGCGGGAGCGGTGGCCAGCGGGAGCAATCGAAGGGACCGGACCGAATGGGTCAGAGGATGACCGAACGTTCTGTGCAGTCGGGTGAGGAGCACGGTACACAGGCCGGATCACATCCTGGCTCTGATTTGAGTCAGCCACATGGGCCTCCTGGGATTGAGGCAGACGCCAGCTAACAGACTGGTTGCGTGGCTTGGTTGGATCGGCAGATCGTTGGTGTGGTGGACGGTAGGGAGCGGCCGATGCTTGAGGTCGGTGGGTAGCGGTGTCCGGCAGATATTGGTCAGCATTAAGTCGCTGGAAGCTACCACGGGGGTTACCAGGGACATTCAGGGTGTTACCATGCTCAGGGAGGCTGCTAGCCATGTTGCTGGAGGCCGAAACGGTCGAGCTTTCCTGGTAAGTAGGAACGGTGTTCATCGAGGGATTGTGGGATCCCGAAATAGTGCGCTGGCTGTCAATTGAGGCGACACTCTGGGTTGGCGACGAACCTGGAGCAGTTCCAATGGTCGAGACGCTGGATTGTCTTCTGTGAAGCTGCTGGAATCCGGTGATGATGAACTTCCGAAGAACACTGGCTTCGTAGATAATCGCATCTTTGAAAACCTTCTTACGGGCAACATCTTCGTCCCACTCAAACCAGAACCTTCCAAAGATTCGCTCGATCTCAGGATGAGTATGCTTGTTGATTAGACCGTCGTTCTCGGTACGTAGAACAGAACCGTGAGACATGATGTAGGCATAAAACTGTACCGATTGGAGAATGGATTAGTGATCTTTCGAAAGAAGATACTATCTCAACCATCTTTCTTACCAGGCTAGCAGCAGAAGGGTGTCCAGGAACATAGGTCATAGTGTCAAATGGGAAGTAAAGACACCAGTCATGGTCCAATGACTCAATTCCTCTCTGATCCTGTGACCACCAAGCAAAACAATACTTCATGCGAGGGTTGAAGGCAGGGCAACTGATTCCTGCACGAACCAACTCATTGAGAAGGCGGATATCCAAACCGACGGTGTTTGTTCTCTGCATACGCTCCACCAAAGCCTTGATCAAAGCAACAAGAGTCTTGAAAAGAGCGTAGCGGTGGTGCACAGTGTAAAGATGAGTTGCATGCCATGGGAACTATATCATAAGACAAAGAATGTGAGTACGACATGGACGAGCAAACAAAGATGCAAGGACAAGGGTTGACTTACCTTCCAGATAGTGCTGATAAACGATTCGTAACAACGCTGGGGAACCTTGCTTGCAAATGCGCTCTGCAATGTGTTAGATGATCAGTGAAATGAAATGAAAAAGATAAACAAGAATTGGGACATACGCGGTGAGGTTGTTCTGCGAGACGAGTGAGGCAAAACAATTCCTCGTCGGTGAGGAAGCCATCAAAACCAGTGGACCAACTGTCTTTGTTGACAAGCTGAACAGGGTTTCCATCTTCCCATGCAATGCACTTCGCCCGGGGAAAAGTAGCCTTGAGCAACTTGGCAGGAGTGCTGAGCTCTAGGTCAACGTGACGGCTGCCCATACGGGGAGCGCTGCCAGCATCATAGACACGATTGAGTCGCTCGACCGTAGCTTGAGCATCCTTCATTGTCGCAAATTCAATATAGCAGTCCATGGTCTTGCCAGTAGACCGTTCCATGATAATATGGATCGGGCATCCATGAGTGGATGGGAGCAGGGAAGCACTGTGTCCAAGGAACGAGACCACCTCCTGGCGAGTCACAGTGAACGGGATCTGAGTATCATAACCATTAGTAACGGAATATTAAACAAACAAGCAGTCAAAGATGAAATACAAACTCACATTAGAAATCATCAGAACGCCATCACGAGGAGGTGGGCGCATCTCGGCGACACTGCCGAATGGAATGGTACTCTGTTGGAGGAGTTCTTCAATCGAGGCATTCTCGAAACTCTCGAAATCCGCAGAGTGGGGGACCCCACTCAGGTCGAAGGGCCAACCCATGTTGGTAGCGTTCGATGGACGTGGGTTGGAAACGACGACGTCCGCTGTAGTAAGGCTACTGTCAGCGAGGTTCAGACGGTTACAATGGTGATGGTACAGTTGGTCGACTGGTCATGACAAAGGGGAGCGAGATGATGCTTACCGGAGTTGAACTGATCAGAAAATCCCACAGGATTGCGGTCGATTTGAGACATGATGTCAGGGCGATACTGAATGAATTGGGGCCGAAGGCTAGGAGGAGGATGGACTTGGGGCACAAGTTCGAAAGATCCGGAATAGTACCCAGGTGCCAAGTCAAGATAGGTTTTAGGAGGACGGATAGTGGAAGAAGAAGAAGAACTTTGATGATGGGAAGAGATAATAGAGGATGGGGTTGAAGTAAAGGGAGGCAAAGGTGGGAAGGTAGAGATCTCAGAAGGAACCTCAGAAGAAACCTGACTAGAAGCCCGGGGGCCTGAAGCAGAATCAGAGGATGATTTCCTAAGAGGAGAAGCACCACCAGAGGTAATTTCAGAGGGCAACTGTTTGCGAGTGTTATAGTCAGTCACAGTTTGTGGCTCTTCGCGTGTATCATTGGGATCCAATAGATCAAGAGTGGCCAGGATCCCAATGGCGGCAGGCCATTCATCAAGTTCGGGCAGGTGCCCGGATCGTTCACTCATGTTAGGGCTGGGAATATCAGGTCAACTTGTGAAATAGATGGTGCGTGGCAACAAGAATATCTCTGGGAGAGAGTGCGTGGGGATAGGGGATGGCTATATATATGGAATTGAGCTCAACGCGCGTTGACGAGTCCGTGAAGCTGGGAAGGTACTTCGAGTGTTGATGGATTGTTGTATGTGTACTATATAGAACTATCAAGTCTTGACTTCACTTTTCTCAATAGATTTATATGATGTAGCATTTTTTAGATATTTTTAAATCAATACCAGTAAGTGAAAGTGCTATACATGTCATTATCTTCAAAAGAACCATTTGGGGTGATATTTAAAAATTCATTGTACCCCAAGGCCTCTATACCTTGTCCGAGTCACCAACGAGGTGCGCATTTATCGCGACGCACTCGGATGTGCGATTGTTTCCTATTGCCACGCATCTGACCCGCACAGACGAAGTTTCCACGCCTTCCTCGTCAATATTTCCAATACGCCCAGCAAACATTCTTATGCCACGCACTAATGTGCCGCACCTCTACTTTTCCCACGCACTTTACCCATACAATATTTATTACCCACGCACTCCTCCCAATTCAACATAGAAGTCTTCCCACCTCCTCCCTACATTTGTTTAAACTGATATTCTCCACTTTATCTTATTGTAAATAGACTTCGATCTAAACTATAGACATTTGTTAGCTTAAAATGCATCCGAGCATGAGCTCCTGAAGACTGGCATTGTACCACTGTTGGTAAGATACCTTTTCTCTCTAATCTACATATGTAGTTTCTTCCCCCCCCGGCCATTCTTCGTTTACTACTGTTTAGCACCACTGATGTAGCTTGTCTTGATGAAGAGGAGCCACCATACGAGATCATCGGATTAACATGGGCACTACGCCAGTGGGAGGGATCTACTGTGGTACTAAAAAACGACTTGAATACGGACCAGAAAACATCAATCGACGGATGTCAGGATAAAGTTCTCTCTTAATCAATGCAAGCCTATGCTATCTGTACAAGAGTTGAAAGTGGGAAACACAGGGCCATTCATTATTCGGAATCAACAAGAAAACGCTAGGCAATTTAATCGAACTAGGTGATCATCAGTAATTGAGTCAATGGTAGACAGCTGAGTAAAAACATACCGGTGTCAGGAAAGACTCGGCAACAAATCGAGCACGGGCATTCAACTAGTAAGCTGTTAGTAAATTGTGACAGAAACAACGCATCCGCACACATACGAAGAGCTTCATCTCCGAAATCTCCTTGTCTACCTCTTCCATGAATTCAATCACAAAATCAATTAGCTTGTGGGTAAGCATTTTTTCCGTATGGAAGTTGGTGATGAGGAAACTGATGTCATATCCCTCCACTGGCTTCCGGCGCAAAATGAAGAACGATTCCGCTCGCTGGGTGAGGAACCGAGTGAATTTGTGAACAAGAATGTGCTCGATCTCATCAGCCTGCTTGATTCTGATACTTATGCGTACAGAATTGTAGCTTGGCTCAATTTTGACCTTCTCATTTTCATTCCTGCTGATGTGCAGCCTGTAACCCCATCAATACTTCTGTCCAATGCGACCAGGGGAGAAACTATGCTCAGACGTACGGGTTCAGTAGAATCTCGGGCGAAGAATTTGCTTCGACCTCTGGGCAGTTGCTGGTGGAACCAGGGGTATTAGCATATTTTACGTCTCGGATTTGTACCAGGGGCAACTTACTGCCGCTCGGATGTCTGAGAGGCGAAGTTGGAGATCGTAAGAGCCGCGGTCAAAGAAGACCGAACACTGGTAAAGCAATTGTGAGCAAGCTTGCCGCTGAACACTTGTCGAAGGCCAAAACTCACGCCTGGAGGTAGGGCCGGAGAGATTGACTCTGATAATCAATTAGTATAGAATGAGTTGGCTGATTGGAGCTGTACCCACCATGATGAGGGGTGTTTGTCGAGGTCACGAGGATGCAATCGCCACGAAGGATAATATAGTCAGGGGCTGATCCAAGAGAAATTAAAATTAGCCCGTTGTGAGGACCCTTCGTCCCAAAGCAGTGAACGAGAAAGGCAGTTCTCTAGATAACAGGTTGTCCTAGGCAGAAGAGGAGTTGACGTCGGGGTGGGCGGTGATGATAGCGGTTGGGCGGTGAGAGACCCCCCCCACGCTTCCTCATCCCAAGCTGTTTACCATTTGCCTCAGCAATCGCAAGCTCTTTCAAGCTTTTTATCCTTCTCACATCGTCCATCTCTGAAACCTATTGAAAATGGCGTCTATACCGAGTATGTATGGATGTATTGGCAGTTCTTGGACCATTACTAACAGATACACAGTCATTGTCAAACACGCCGGCAAGCGCCACGAAGTCGAGCTCGATCCTACGTCGAACGGCGAAACACTCAAGTACCAACTATTTTCCTTGACTGGTGTGGAGCCCGACCGCCAAAAGGTTCTGGTCAAAGGTGGCCAGCTTAAAGATGATACACCTCTTTCGGCACTCAATGCCAAACCCGGGCAGATGTTCATGATGATGGGCACCCCGTCGGGAGGTCAAGGTTCCGCTGACCTTGGTCGACCAAAGGAGACCGTCAAATTCCTGGAAGACATGACCGAGGCCGAGGTAGCACGACAAGAGGGTGCCACCCCTGCCGGCTTGCAAAACCTGGGAAACACATGCTACCTCAACTCTTCCCTACAAACCTTGCGGAGTGTCCCGGAGCTTCAGGAAGAGCTCCTGCGGTATCGGCCAAGTGGAGGAGCCGGACAGTCGAGTCTGTCAGATCTCAGCAGTTTTGGTATTGGTGGTCTTGGAGGTTCTCGGGATTTGGCCGCTTCTCTGCGAGATCTGTTCAAGCAAATGTCCGAGACCCAAGAGGGCATTCCACCACTTATGTTCCTCAATTCTCTCCGAGCCGTCTTCCCTCAATTCGCCCAACGTGACCGAAATGGACAAGGATACTCCCAACAGGATGCTGAGGAGGCTTTCTCCCAGATCTTAAACCAGTTGCGGGCTAAATTGACCATCACTGAGGGCGAGGGCGAGTCTGCCACCACTACCTCATTTGTAGATAAATATCTCGCGGGCCAATTCGAATCTATCACCGAGTGCGAGGATCCCGCCGCCAAGGAGCTCGGCGAGCAACCAAGTCAAAGTTCTGATGTTTTCTACAAACTTGATTGTCATATCGGAAAAGAAACGAATCACCTACAGGATGGAATTTTGGCTGGCCTCGAAGAGGAAATCGAGAAAAACTCTCCTCTTTTGGAGCGCAATTCTGTGTACAAAAAGCGTTCTCGCATTGCACGACTGCCAAAGTACCTCACAGTCCATTTCGTCCGGTTTTACTGGAAGCGGGAGACACAAAAGAAGGCTAAGATTATGCGCAAAGTGACATTCCCCGCTGAGTTGGATGTTGTGGAGTTCTGTACCGAGGAACTCCGGAAGCAGCTCATCCCTATCCGTGACAAGGTCCGCGAGATCCGCAAGGAGGAGCTGGAAGTCGAACGTTCTCAGAAGCGGAAAAGAGTTGCCGAAGAGCGTGCAGAGCGTCAGCAGAAAGAGACCAACCTGGGTGAAAGCGTGGAGCCAATGCAGAAGAAGAAGGCCGCTGAGGAGAACAAGTCTAAAGTGAACGACAAGGACGGCGATAGCCAGATGGAGGAGACTTTCAAAACCGATGCCGAGTACGAAGCAGAAAAAGTGGAATCTATCCGCGTTGCGAAGAAAGAGCTCCAAGAACTTGTTAACCAACGGGGTGCTGGAGACAGCGGGACTAACCAGTCTGGTCTGTATGAGCTTCGTGCCGTGATTACGCACCAGGGTGCTAGCGCCGACAGCGGTCACTACACAGCATACGTCAAGAAACAGGAGCGGGATGAACCCCAGACTGGCAGCAAGCGCCGTGAGGCAGACAACAAGTGGTGGTGGTTCAACGACGACACAGTGACCGAGGTGGAGGCACAGAAGATCGAGACCCTTTCCGGTGGTGGTAGGTGAACAGTATTCTACGATCTAAGAGTCATCGCTAACAATGTTTCTAGGCGAATCACACTCTGCCCTCATTTGCCTCTACCGCGCGATTGAGCTGCCCAAATCCGAGTAAATGGGGTTTTCTTAGCACCCATTCAGATGGGAAAGATATTTGCAAATGTTGCCCCTAGATGAATAGAAACGATGAACATGAATAATGCTCGTCTCTAACGCCTTAACCTGTTACCAATTGATTGTCTTGTGCCTTGCAATGATCTCCACTCTGTAGTTCCCATGGATCTTTAGCCGATGCTCGGTGACGACATATGTGAATGACTAATGGTTACTCACACGTGACCTGACTGGGCCTCGGCCCGAATTGTCCAAAGCTCCAATTGAATCAACATTCAATTCGAAAGGAATGGCAATGTGACCACCATGATACATTATCGCAACATCCTTCAGTTGGCCCTTCGCCAGACTTCGATACAAGCACGAAGCTGTTGGCGACCAGCGGTCCGAAGCGTCAGCACCGCGGCACAACCAAATACCTCACGAGAACCATCGCGTTGGACGCGCCGTCTGATCTATACTGGCATCTTTGGGACACTTGGCGTCGGTGCAGGGAAATGGCTGGACAACAAAATCGCAACGCCACCGGCTCCTGGGTCATTAGAAGACCAACTGGAGATTCAGGAAGTCCAGCGCGTGTTCGATATTGGACTCCCCATTGTGCAGGAACTGCGTCGTAACCCCGATTACGTGGAAAAGGACGTCTACGAAAACTTTTCGGATGAGCACAAAACCCATCGGCTGACATCAGGCCCCATGGCGGGGAGTAGGGGCTTGGGATTACAGGTTGGTTTCTCGTTTTCTTATCAGCGTCCGAGGCATATCCATCTTACATGAATGCCGGACCTTTTCACTACCGAACCTCGGGATCCGGCATTGTCTAACTATTCTCGTATTTGACAGAAAGTTTTCTGGAACGACAAAGAGAAGAAACTCATTAGCGTGGTCTTCTTGGGACCAGGCCTCGAAGGCTGGCCAACCATGGTCCATGGGGGTGCGCTCGGCACTGTGATCGATGAGAACCTAGGGCGCGCAGCCATTCGGCATTTCCCAGCGCGAACAGGTGTTACTGCCAACCTTGAACTCAACTACCGAGCGCCGGTCCACTCGGACAATTTCTACACCCTGCATACAACCCTAGATCAGGAACGGAGCACGGAGACCAAAGCATACGCCAAGTGTGAGGTCCGTGACATGGCGGGCCGACTATGTGTTGAAGCGACGGGACTTTTCGTTGTTCCCAAAAGACTCAAGCTGAACAAGGTTGGGGAATATTTCTGAGCCATGGAAATATGGAAATATCCACACTTCATTCTTTAGATGGTTTGATATCTACAAATACGTGGCTTTCTTCGATCGTGTGACTTCTTCGAAGCTCCAGCCCAGGTTATAATAAACTCAGCACCGGCCTCTTGACCCCCTGGGACGAATTCAACTGAAGCTGCAAGTTAGCAAGGGAAAAACAGACCTCATATATGAAACATTCATGTACAAATACCCATGGATGTATTATCTGATGACTTATAACAGACACAGCCATCTCTTGTACATTCGACATTATAAATTCAATACTCAAATTCTCCTGGTATTTGGTTTCTGATTGTTTCGGGGCTGATCCCCGTTCTGGCATGGGTCTCCGGAGCCGTAGACTCGTGAACCAACTGGATGCATCCACCTTCTCCGCGTTTTCTCCCCCGCATTTCCCCTAGCGTCTTTGCCCTCGAATCACCAACTGCTATGTACGAGGGAATTGCCAAGCTGCCTCGGTATTTTCTGGATTTCAAGCATTATTGTCCCGGCTATCTGATTCAACGTTCATTAGCTTGTCTTCATTTCCCCACTTTGATTCATTACACCCCGTGAGATGGAAGTCTCTATGACATATGGGACTCATTCAGTGACCTGAAATGAGCTTATATTCTCCTGTTATTTCTTCGATATTCTGGATTGAATTTCAATCTCGTCAGCATTTCGGTCAAATTTGAATTACATCCAATTTTGTTTGAGTCGAGGCCAAGGTCAATCCACCATTTGTACTGCCCTTAACTCGCGATCATCATGGCGGACTCAATCCTTCAATCGAGTCGACCAGTCGACGAAAAGGTCGTGATGCAACATCATGAAAATAGTGACACTTCGCAGCATAGCCACCAAGAAATGATTGAACCGGGATCAGAGGAAGCTATGCATGAGTCCGAGAAGGATATCCCGGTAGGATTCGGCTGTTCAAGGTGTGGTCGCGACAATACTGACCATTACAAAGATGACTTTCCGTCGCTTCATGGGCTTTACTGCCATGGCTTTCCTGTGGACTGGAAGTCAGATCCCAGTCTACCTATTTGGTATGTCAACAACGACGTGAAAACTATGATATAATTTTGATACCTTTTCACTAGGCGGCATCCCTCCCTACATTTATGGAGACATTGGTGGAGCAGACCGATGGGTCTGGTTTGTGAGTCTATACTCATTGAAGTACACGGCCATGACTAATGGGCATATGTTTAGGTTCTTGCAAACTTACTCGGCCTTGCAGGTGTATGCCCTTTTGTTGGATCTCTATCAGATTTAATCGGACGCCGCCCAGTCGCTATTATTGGAGCATCCCTGATAGTCATTGGAATGATAATCTGTAGTACAGTGCACACAATGAACAACTTCATCGGTGAGTGTTTGCCCAGATACCAAAGTATACATTTGCTGATATGTACACAGCGGGAATGGCCATCGCTGGTGCCGGTGCCGGGATAAATGAATTGACAGCACTGGCTGCAACCTCTGAGATGGCACCGACTCGAAAGAGAGGACTTTATGTGTCGATACTTATCTTCACCATCGCACCATTCTGCCCGTCTGTGCTATGGGCTCAGCTTATCGCGTATCACACCCATTGGCGCTATGTCGGTGCATTCTGTGCTGCATGGAGCGCCTTTGGTTTGTTGATCACGATTTTGTTCTACTTCCCTCCGCCACGAGTCAATTCAGCTGGGTTGAGCCGAAAGGAGATTATTGGACGGGTCGACTTTGTTGGTGGCTTGCTCAGCATCACTGGTCTGATTGTCTTCTTGGCCGGTCTGCAATGGGGTGGATATATGGTATGCTTAAAAATATCTCGTTCAGGGTTATTTCCTACTGACATATTCATATAGTATCCATGGGCATCTGCCCATGTCCTGGCACCGTTGATCATTGGGTTCCTTCTGCTTGTTGCTTTTGCTTTCTGGGAAATCTATGGAGCCAACTACCCCATTTTCCCATCTCGCCTCAAGCAGGAGCCTCGGATTCTAGGTCTTACCCTCGTAATTACTTTCATCTCCGGTGCCAACTTCTTCTCCGTGCTCATGTTCTGGCCCACGGAATCGTTCAATGTCTACGGCCATGACCCAGTGGATGTGGGTGTTCGCAGTCTCCCTATTGGCTTTGGAATCATGGCAGGGGCATGTATTGTGCTTGCGCTTCTAAGTGTTCTTCGTGGACATAATAAGGAGCTCTTGATCGTCAGTAGCGTTATGATGACTGCAGGTGAGTTTTCTTGGTGAGTATAAGAGTGCCTAAAAATCTAACTTGTTTCCCAAAATAGGATGCGGTGCTATGTCTATCGGCCGTACCGATAATATGTATCAGCTCTGGGGAATTCTCGTCCTTGCTGGCCTTGGAATTGGAGGCATTGTGGTTCCAGCCTCGATTATTACCACGATTATTTGTCCAGATGTAAGTTGTTTTTTGCTGCAAGGGAGGAAGTCTGACTACTGACATTGGCTTTTGCCAGGATCTGATTGCCACTATATCTGCACTCACCCTCTCTATTCGCGTGGTAGGCGGTGGCATCGGCTACACTATTTACTACAATGTCTTCATCTCGAAGTTTGTCCCCGCAGCAACACATTATATCGGTGGTGTGATGATGAAAGAACTCAACATCACCGACGTCAAACTGATTGGCGAAGCAATTGAGCTGACAGGTGCCTCGCTGCTGGGCGAGCTGCGCACAATTCCTGGTATTGCTGGAAATGAGACTGCATATCAAATGGTTGTAGGGGCTGGTCAGATTGCATATGCTGAAGGATATAAATGGGTATACTATGTTAGTATTGCATTCGGTGGTGTCTCAATTCTGGCCGCCTGTTTCTTGGGCGACATCCAGAAGTATATGACAGACCATGTCGCAGTGGTAATGTGAGGCATATCCCAATTTTGGGATTTATGCGAACCATTTGTTGCTTTTTTAGGAGATTTGTGAATTACGAGAACAGCGAATCAAAAATGTGATTAGAGAATATTCGAGAAAGTAGATACCAATAGTAAAAAAGTAGTAAATAAGATCATCCTGGGGTCGCCGATCATGACGCGCCAAGGCCGGCAACTTTTTTTACTCTCAAACGTCAATGCACACAACTTCAATCAGCAGCCATGGCTTCAAACCCTTCCGCTAAGCGGAAACCTTTCGCTCCCCCAGGTCCGCATGGCCCAGCCGGGGCATCTCGCAAACGCGCCAAAACATTTGATGCTCGCACCTTGGCTGTGCAGTCGGCCGACGCCGCCCTCTCCGCGACAGGCGAGCTCGATGTCGCCGCCTACTCTGCAGCTCGAGCATTTGAGATCCAGGCTCTGGAAGAGGGGATGCAGCGGTCGAAAAATGCGCTCACGACACGAGCCTTCCAAAAAGTTCCCCGCTCCCTACGACGGCGGACCGCGAGTCATAATGTGAAACGAGTTCCGCGGAGGTTGAGAGCTCGGGCGAAGCGAGAGGTATCTATTGAAAACGGTCTACGATTTCCCAATAACTGTTGATTAACCCGCTATGTCACCAATGTTAGATGGCCGAAGATAACACACCTACGGTTACGGCGCGCAGACGCAAGCCATCCCAAATGATGCGCATTCGACTCGATACCGCTCGGCGACTACAGGCTATCAACTCGAAAACCAAGGCTCGACGGGCGGCCGCGAAAATAAACCGGGACCAAGAGAACCAAACTTCCTTGGAGAAGGAGGGAAGTCATGCCTTCGATATCGCACCTCGAGTTCCCAAGATCAAGAAGAACAAGCTGTCGAGGCCTACTCCGGCAGAGCCTAAGTACCGCAAGCGCCAGAAATGCAAGACATGGCTACCTACTCATTTGTATCATGCAAAGCGAGCTCACATGGCGACGACTAAAGACCCGATTTGGCGCTTTGCTGTTCCTCTATCCCCCACTGAGAAAAGCTATCGGCCTACGCACCGGGCTCGAGGCGCTCGGGGTGCCGTTGCGTGGGATATGAGCTATATGTCTACTATTCAGTTGGAAGGAACGGAACCAGCTATCCAGGCTGTCCTAAGTGCAGTGGGCGTGAACGGGGACGATGCATGGGGCACCAAGGGGAAGAAATGGAGAACCGGGACTCGCTCTCTACAGGCCTGGACTTTTGAAAAGGACCATCCAAAACGTCCAACTGCACCAGTCACATTGATATGGTGTGCCAAGCAGGAAGATGTTGAGATGGTTGATGCCGACGAACCTCAGCCCAAGTCATCGAAGAGAGATCACCGCAAACTCTGGATTAGAGTGCATCCTTCAGCTTTCCTTCAGCTGTGGACGGATGTTCTCGGGGTATCCAAATCGCAAAACCCACCTGTTATGGTTGAGGACCTGCGATTCGAAATTGGCAGTATTGAAATCACAGGGCCAGGGTCTACCGAGGCCCTGTTGGCGGCATTGAAACCAATTCTGGACGGTAATGCCCCATCAACACACAGCCCGGAAGCCGTCTGGCCATCTCTTCTGGGGGTGTCGAATCCGTCCTCACTGCCCCATAATGCCCTACTCTCTTTTGCCATTTCTGATCCCCGCCTGCACTTCCCGCCACGCACTCTTCACGTCCCCGACAACGAATCACACATGAATGACCTTGCTATCTTACTTTCTACATGGTATCCGGACAAAACGCAAGGCCCCTCTAAGCTATTTGACCGACCTACTCGGTTAACAGCGTCTCGTCAGCTCCCGAGCCAGAAGGCTATCAACCGACGCCGCACTCTTGCCGGTCCTGGTGAACATCCGCCATCTCAACCATTAGATCCTCAAATTCCGATCATCATACTCGCAAACAAGCCACAAGCCCGGGCCAAACGTAGCAATGCCCCGGGGTCCTGGACCGTATTATTACCATGGAAATGTGTTGTTCCGGTTTGGTATTCAATCATGTTCTACCCACTATCTAGCGGAGGAAACCCATTGCTTGGTGGTTTGAAGCAGCAGCGGCAACTTGCTTTCGAAGCAGGTGAGGCTTGGTTCCCTGGA